AATGTAAAAAGACAACATACACAAAGCATGTACATTAATGTCAGGTATATCACATGTGTTCACTACATGATTTATTACAATTACTATCAGAACAACAGGTGACTTTAAAAACTAGATTCCTGACAGATGCTGGTTAAGAAACACGATTCAGTACTAAAGATGCAAACAACTAATAATCAGATACATCTAAACACATACACAAACTTTTTTTCCAAATAAAATAAAATCATGTTTAAAAAAAAAAAAAAAAAAAAAGCCCATTTTTAAGTATTCAAGGTCCTAAACATTAAATGCAGTAAAAACACTGTCCATGGTACTCCTGGCAGACTTCTCCTGATAAGCAAAAGCTTAGCTGATTTACAAAAGAATCATGACAAATTCATCTATTCATCAACTAGGATTTTTTATCTGTATTATGTTGCCCTAATAAATTAAAACAATGTTACTAGTAAGCATGTTTCACTAAATGGTTAAAAATTGTGTGCCATCAAAATAGTTAAGTAATGCTATCTATAATAATTGATCACTCAAAAACTCAAAATGCATTTACACTCATACATAAATTTACAACACAATATATTTTTTGCAAAACAAGGTGCTCCTAAGTAGAAATAAATTAATCTTAAGTGATGCTAATCTTAAATATAAATGCAGTACTCTGATATTTTATTTTTACCACAATTATTTTTTAAATATATCCACATATTATTTTAAAGTATTAAAAATCTGTATGTGCATGATGGGTCTTAAACATAAATACTATCTGTCTGTGTTTGTGTGTCTGCTTCTCAGGAATAAGCTAACGGAAAATACAACTAAACATAGTAGGAAAAAAAGAAATCCTTACACAGCCGATGGTTGTCGTAACTCAAAGAGTTTATATTTGGAAGAGAGGGAGACTGAAAGAGCAGACAAGTGCCAGAAGGCCTAAACCACATTACACAACAGAGTAACTCCACATCTGCTGAATACATGAGACACCACTGTTCCCTGAACTACAAGCTCCGTAAGTAGAATGTCCCATAAGTAGGTGTGGCTTAGGTCACATCCCAAGTGAATTCAAGTAATAAAACTTAATGATCATCACTCTAGCTAATAGCTTGTAGCCAGTATTCTCAAGTAACAAAAATGTAAATGTGTGCTTTTATCACTGATAACTAAAAATTAAAAGAAGGCATTTATAAATACAGAAAATATAAAATTCATAAAATAAATTAATATATGTTGAAATATGTCCTTCCATAATAATGAGCCCTATGTTCACATTTTAAATATAACATCTGCTTATATTATAGCCTTACTTGAAAAACACCATAATATCTACCTTAGAACATACATATTTCTTAAATCAGCCAAAACCAAAATTTTTTAAACTCATCACTAAGCATTCTAGGGCAGCAGCTCAGAAACTACAGCCCACGAATCTCCGAGGTTCCTTAAGACCCTTTCAGGTCATCTGTGAGGTCAAAACTATTTTCTTAATAATACTTGGACAGTATTAGCCTTTCTCATTTTGTTGGAATTTGCATGAATAGTCAAAAGCAATGATGAGTATAGCTGACAGCACCTTAGCACCATATCAAGGCAGCAGTATCAAAATGCGCTATGTACAAAATGTGTTTTTTACTGCTATGCAAACTTTTTTAAAAAGACAGTTTCACTTAGTCTTTGATGCAACAGAAAAAATGACGGATTTCCTTGAAAACTGAGTGCGTTTGTTTGTTCAATTATGTACCAAAATGGGAAGTATACATACTGTCCTTCTACTTCTGCATACCACAGCTTGATGGCTGTCTCAAAAAAAAGTACCTGAGCAACTGTTTAAGTTGTGAATTGAATTCACTTCTTTCATGGAATACCATTTTTTTACTTGAAAGAACTATGGTTATTTAGGCTTGGATATCTGACAGACATTTTATCAAAAATGAATAAAGCAAGCTTATCTCTTCAAGTGCTGCCTATGACAGTGATGTCAATAATAAAATTTGAGCTTTGAAATGAAAATTTTTTGAAAACTTGTATCCACTCCTGAAAGTTTGAGAGCTTCCCTATACTTACAATTTTTCTTATGAGATCACTAGTGATATTAACAATGGTTAACATTTTGATAGTTTAAGAAAATTTGTCAACATTTAGTAGATTTGCATATTTTCCTAATAATCAACACATGAGGAAAGAAAATCATGCGTGAGTAAATGAACTATTCAAAGTGCAAAGCAGACAAATGGATTTTTTTTTTTTTTTTTTTTTTTTGAGACAGGGTCTCACTTTGTCACCCAGGCCGCAATGCAGTGGCCCCATTATAGTTCATTGCAGCCTCAACCTCCTGGGCTCAAGCAATCGCCCTGCCTCGGCCTCCCAAAAAGCTGGGACAACAGGTATGTGCTACCCTGCCTAATTTTTTTTAAATTTTGGTAGAGACAGGATCTCACGGTGTTGTCTGGACGGGTCTCAAACTTTTGGGCTCAAGCAATACTCCTGCCTTGGACTCCCAAAATGCTGGGATTACAAGGATGAGCCACTGTGCAGCATATGAAAAGTATTTAAAATAATCTTCCAAAAGAGAATAGCAGAAATAAAAATAAAGTAAGCTGAAACTAGAATCCTTGACACAACTGATTTTACTACCAATGCCTCTTAAAAATAATCATTCCATGGGTGGGCGAGAGGGCTGTTTTCATGGTGCGATGCACTGTGACTTGTTACTCAAGTTGTATGTCCACTGTTCCATCTATCACGTTTTATACCCTTGCAAAAAATAAAACAAAACAAAAATCATTCCAATTAATGGCATTCACAGCAACCTGGATGGGACTGGAGACTATTATTCCAAGTGAAGTAACTCAGGAGTAGAAAACCAAACATCACACGTTCTCACTGGTAAGCGCGAGGTATGCTATGAGGAGGATGCAAAGGCATAAGAGTAACACGATGGACTTTGGGGAACTGGGGGAAAGCGTGGGATGGGGTGAGGGATAAAAGATGACAAACTGGGTTCCATGTATACTGCTCAGGTGATGGGTGCACCAAAATCTCACAAATCACTTAGTACTAAAGAACTTACTCATACAACCACATACCACCTGCTCCCCAAAAACCTATGGAAATAAAAAATTAAAAATCATTGCAAGTAGATGTAAAAAGTGTGACGTAATTGTAACCTGATAACTCATTTAAAAGCTCATGTAAAGTCATATTACTGAAAAACAAATGCTCTTTACAACATATTATAATTATAGTATACTCTGCAGGCATCCAGGAGTCTAGAGCACTGAGAAGTTTATTCGGATAACGGTATCAATATCTATTTAAAATAATGTATTTGAAAGATATCTTCCCAATCTATGAATTTCACACTAAGCATGTTTGTAAGAGGTTATGAAACTTAAAAATACAATGTTATTTAAATACTGGATAGTGTCTGAGAGTGACTATATTGTTACTCCCATTTCATTTTCTGTACTAAACATACGGGACCAAAGTCAAAGCAAGAGGGAGGAAACTGGTAATCTCAAGTCTCAGTACCAAAAGCTGATAATGGTGAACAAAATGACAGAATTTTTGTTGGTTATCCTATAAAAATCAGGAACTAGAATAATAAATAGTCCACCATGGCAAGTACCACTATGAGCAAACAAGAGTAAAGAGAAAATAAATTCTTGGAAGAACGAAAAGTTTTAAGTTTGCAAAGAGCAGAAACTGCCTGATTTTCCTTGAATAGAACATGTATGAAATCAAGCAAGAGAACTTGCTAGGATTCTGAATAAAACAGCCAACTGCTCCACTCAGCCAATAAAATACCCACAAACAACAGTAACAAATGACTATTTTTTTCACGGACCATAAAGTTGGGTCAATCTCTCTTCCATTCTGAAAATCAAAGGAACCAAGGCATGACTTCCTAATTTGGAAACAACCTAGCCTGCTGCTTTTACTCCAGTCAGTGGCAGATCTAGACTAGAGCTAGCCTCAACTGCAATATGTCTTTTTCAGCCTGCTTCCACCCTACTGAAGAGGGAGATGGTTTTCAAAACATACACAAAAAAGTCTGAATATTCTGTGAAAATGGTCTTTTCCTGTCAGCCTAGGTCAATCAGACACTAATAAACTTCAGCAAGCTTGAAACTGTAGAAACCAAAAAAACACTGCCAGAAAGTCCGCCCTGTTCATACCTAGAGTTAAAGGAGACAACTCTGGTTTATGCCTGCTGTCCTGGTAGAATTATTAACAGTGCCCACTTGCACTCAAAAGGTTCTATATGGCCACTCTAACTAGAAAGGATTGACACTTACAAGGTAAAGTAAGTTGTGTATATTCAACCTAAAAACATGGCAAAATGTAAACATGTGCAACTAAGACTGGCATTTCTTATCTTCTGTAAGCCATGCAAATTTAACATTAAATTTCTTGTGAGCAAAAGCACAAAAATTTTGGCTATTTTCCAGCCACAGCAAAGTATTCCATTTCAGTTCCTCAAAAGAGTTTCATTCATGACACACATGCATAAATTTATAAGAATAAAACTTCAAATTATCCTTTACTTTTGGAAACATACACTGGGCAAGTATCTTCCTACTTACATCTGAACTACCTCTCAACATGCTTCTTTTCACTTTATTAAGTACATTCACTTTCTAAATCAAATTCTAATATGGTTTTGGTCAATCACATATGTCAAAATGATCCGTGAATGTTATGTTTTTATGGTTGCTATAATAAAATCTCAACCAGATGACTTGAGCCAGGCAAAGATCTTCCTTGCCACCTCTCAGCCTGCTTTAGCCCAGTTACACATGATGAGAAATGTGAAGAAAAGCCTTCTACTCATGAATAAAGGTGGTACAATTTTGAGAATACGCACACACCTGCTATGAACTCATACATATGGAGACGCCAACTGGAAGTCCACCAGCAGATTTTCAGGCCCTACCAGCGCATCAGTTAGCCAACCCTGACATGCCCAGAACTGGTTAAAGGGTCTGTGGGATTTGGCATACTGCTTAGTATCCAACTTACGAGTGTAAGTGTAGGTCAGACAGACATTTGATCCTTGTCTTAAGTATCTACAAGGTGAATGGGTATATCCTACATACAATCAGCCAAGAAACTAACAGAAATAGCAAACATTTAACAACAATGGCAATCAAGACTCTAACCTGAGTTAGAAAAATAATTTTCAACTGAGAAGTTCAGTCTCATATGTTCAATAACTGCTACCTGCATATATATTTTATTTATAATAAAAAACAGGTTTATATCAAAATAATTGCTATACCATTTATTAATATATTCTGTCTGACATTACACCAAAATTCAAGGCTGGTAAAACTGTTTATAAACAAATTAGTCTATGCCACCAGATTAACCAACACCTAGAAACAATGCTTTATACACTACAATTGCTCAATTAAATCCTTAATGATAACCATAAACATTTCTTAAGCTTCCCACCAATCTGGTATCATATCCTGATCATCTATGATCCATATTTTAAGAATTTAGATCCACCTCTACTGCTATTTTGCCACTATTAATTTAACCACAATCAGAGTTTGATAGTGCAATAAAAGTCTATAGTTATAACATTTGTTTTCCATTAGGTCTACAAATTATGTAAAATAGAATTATTTTCATTGGCAGAAGGATAGCAAATTGAAACTAGCTTAGATGTAGTTTCAACTTAAGATGACTCAACACTGTTAGACAAGAGCTGTCCCTCAGACTCACAAGAACACACTGAACCAAACATAAAACTTAGCCAGTTATAAAGGAAATAAAGATTTTAAAAGGCTATAACCACCGCTGAGATTCAAATTATCAAAAATAAAAAATAGACATGCCTATAAATACTAAAAATACGTCATTGGCTATCTCATTAAACATCAGTCACCAGAAAGAGATCTTCAGCAGTACCAATGTTTAAAAATACAACTACTGACAGCCAGCCACAGTGGCTCATGCCTGTAATCCCAACACTTTGGGAGGTCAGGCAGATTACTTGAGGCCAAAGTTCGGGACCAGCCTGACCAACATGGCAAAACCCCATCTCTACTAAAAATACAAAAATCAGCCAGATGTTGTCGCACACGCCTGTAACCCCAGCTACTCAGGAGGCTAAGGCACAAGAATCACCTGATCCTGGAAGGTGGAGGTTGCAGTGAGCTGACATCACACCACTGCACTTCAGCCTGGGACAGTAAGACTCCAACTCAAAAAAAAAAAAAAAAAAGTTTCAAATATAGTTTAGTTGTATGATAAAGCATAGTCACAAACTAAATATTAGTCTGGAATGTAGCTATAAGTTATGCAGTTATTACCACTTCACCTGATGACTTCCTACTCTGCCTCTGCTGACAAAGTTATTTCTTATAAACATCTCTGGAAGATATGAATCACCATATTACTTCTCAGTTAATCAGAGTATTAAAATGTAATATATTCACCTATAATGAAACATATGTAGGCGTTCACATAAATTCTGGGTTATGTTTACCATCAAGGCAAGAAGAACGCAATAAATTCAATAAAAAATAAAGGACTTTAAGAAGTATCTCATGAAGCTAAATAGTCAATTACCTAGCATAATTTTTGCATTTAAGTGTAACCTTCTTGCAAAACTAATAAGACATGAAAACATAAATATTCACCAGCCTAATATAAACACTCTTCACTAAATTTTTCAAAAGCATATATCCCATATTTCGTCATGATTAAAGGTATATACAATGAAGGCCATATTAAACATTCTTTCCACACGTTTATCGAGCCAATGCCATGCAATACACAGAACAATTATTCAAGAAAATCCTAAACTCTTGCCTTCGTGTAATGAGAGGGAGACAGACATACCAATGGCAATGACAAGTCATGGTAAGTTAAAACCAACAGGGGCCGGGAGTGGTAACCCACGCCTGTAATCCCAGCACTTTGGGAGGCCCAGGCGGGCAGATCACCGGAGGTCAAGAGTTCGAGACCAGCCTGGTCAACAAGGTGAAACCCCACCTCTTAAAAACAACAACAGGGAGACCTTTGGATAACCAGAGACACCCTCTTCTGAGGAGGTGACAGAAAGATTAAAAGGACTCTGATGTCATAATTAATTAGGAATCCCTAAAAGAAAACAAGCCGTAACATTAAAAATAAGCAAAGAAGGGACTATACATATTTTAAAGAGCTTCTGCGAGCTACAGCTTTTCACAGTAATCAAGACATTAAGTTAGCTTAGCATCAATCTCCTGGTTATAAAATAACATTAGGTTTAGATCAACTCTCATTTTATGAATTCCAAATGAATCTAGGATCCAAGTGACAGGCTGAAAAACACTCCAGTGATAAGTCTTTTTCTTTGGAAGCCGTTCTTTTACATACAAACATGAATATGAAGGAAAAAGCAAACTTAGCCAGAATGTTAAAACATACTCTAATTTTCTTAAAAAAAGAATGTAATCCAAAGAACCAAGTTTATCATCTTCCTACACACAGAAACCACAAAATTATCAGTGGTTATCAAAGCTGCCTGAAACCACCAATCACAGATGATTAATGAAGTTATAAAATCTGAAAATAGATACTTATCACTCTACAAAAACAAACAAACAAAAAAAACCCCACAGCTATACTCTCAGACACATAAAAAGATTACCCAAGTAAATAAATACAAGGCTTAAATCTTATTTCTACAAATCAACTTCTGTAGTGAATTTGTTCAACATTTACTTAACATCTGATAAGGACCAGCACAATGCTTTTGTTCTTGCAGAAAACTAAAAAATTGGATTAGTGATGGCCAAATACAGTAAAAATAATCACTAGATGGTTAAAAGAAAAAAAAAATTCACGTGAGCTTAGAAAAAGCAAATTGAAACTGTTGCCTTGAAATATTGGTTTAGAGAATTACTCATAAATTTATCTACATCATAATGAAAGATACAATATGTTAAATGTAAAGCTTAACTAGGACCAGAATAAATGTAAATAGCACAAGAAGGTTCCCCAGAAAGCAAAACAGAAAGTGTCAGCCAGCCACTATATAGTGAAAAAGCTTAAAAAAAAAAAGACATTATTAAAAAACAATTCATTATAAAAGGCTTCTAATACAATTCTGAAGAATAATTTCTAAAAATAAAAATGTTCAGATATAAGTAGGGGAAAAATAGTTAATGAAATAATTTGTTTTAAGTCCTCCAATTCTTGCTTTGCTTCAATATATGTGCACAACAAACTTTCACTTATAATGCAACTGAAAAAATCGCTTTCCAAATGACAGACCGATTTAAATAACTAGTCATATCACTAAGAAAAAGTTTCAATTGAGTGCTTAAAATAGAACTTATTTAAATCAATGAACTATGTTTCTGATTTGAGTTTTTTAAATGCTAATTCAAGATACCAAAAAGCTGAATTATCTTTATAAAACTGAAAAAAGACTCCTTTTCACCAGACTAGAGAAATATCTCAAAAAAAAAAAAAAAATCCATTCAAACAAACAAAAAACAACTATGTACCAAGAAAATGTTTTATGGTCAATTTTTTTAATCTTGTGATAAAAAGAAAAATGAACTCACTATTCCGAAAGAAAACATAATCCTGAAACTAAATTATCATGTCACTTTACTGAAGACATACTAAATAGTCTATGAACAAACACTTAAGTACACAGTACTAACTTGGTTACTAAAACCTAACTGATAAAATCATTACAGAAGATGAATGAATCAGGAGTAACTTAACATAATATAATATGTATGCTCAAACTGGCAACCTGAGCCTCATGACATGTATCAGCATCAACTAAGGATTAAGACAAATGGCTAGCTACCCATGTCAAGTGTAGTCACAGGTACAGATGAAGACAGAAGAAATGGAATCCTTCCCATGACTGGCAAAAATCAAGAAATCAGACAAGCAACAGTCCAATGTTCTCAAAAATATAAAGTGGAATATAATGATAAAGGGACTAAATTTCCTAGGAATGTCCAAATTTGCCAAACATGTTTTGTTCCCTAGGAGCTGGTTATTTTAGCAAGTATTAAACATAGGCGCTATTAAAATGATTTCCTAAGCGGGCACAAATCCCGAGCGAAGTGTTTTTTGTGCTGTTAAAGTCTGCGCAGCAGCCGAGAGAACCGAGCGCGGAGACGACCCTCGCGGGGCGATTCACGCGGCTGCTCCCTGCCCTTCCCCTCCCTCCCCCGCCACAGAACCCTTCCTAGCGGACCGGGACGCACACACTGTTTTAAAAGCTGCTCGGAACCCTTTCAGCAGCTGTTACAAACAACCCCCATTGTTACCAGGCCAGGAGCGAGCGGGATTTCCTCCTCCTCTCCGGTAGCCAGCCTCGGGCCGGCGCCTCCCTCGGGCAGAGGCCGCCGCAGGGCTGCCCAGGGCCCTTCCCCGCCGCCCGAAGGTGGAGGAGGCGCGCCTTTCCCCGGGAGAGCCGGCTCCGGGCCTGGGTGCCGGGGAGCCCGCACCTCCACAACTTTGCGAGGCTGACTCTTCCCCCCGGCCCGGCTGCAGCCTCCAAGTGCGGGAACCCGAAGCACCGTGCACGTCACAGGCTCCATCCCGGCCACGCCGACCGCCGCCGGGAGCCAGAGCCGGGCTGCAGGTGGAGGGCCCCGCTCCCCGCGCCCCGCGCCCCGCGCCCCGCTCCCCGCCGCGACGCCCGCGCCTTCCGCGCCTCCGGGGATCAGGCCAGGACGGCGCCGCGCTCGCGGGGGTGAGGGCGGCGGCCAGGTGAGCCGCCAGGTGAGCGGCCCGCGAGGGGAACAGGTGACTGCCGCGCCCCGCCAGCCCCCGCTCGGCCCGCGCGACCCCGGGACACACCGCGGCAGGGGGACAGGGAATGCGGGGGGCGCGGGCTGGGGGCCGCGGTCGGCCTGGGGAAGGAGGAGGGGAGGGGGAGGGGAGAGAACGGGGAGTGGGGGAGGGGGGCAGAGGGCGGGTCCGCGGCGGCGGCGGCGGCGGAGGGGGAGGGGGTGGGGCGGGTGCGGCGGGCGGGGGTCGCGCAGGCCCCGCGCCCCGCGGCGCTCACCTCGGTCGGCTGGCTGATCTCGAACAGGTCCAGCCGGTTGGCGTTCCAGTGGTGGATGATGTCGGCCAGCTTCCGCCGCTCCTCGTCACGGCCGCCCGCCGACATGGTCCCGGCCGCGCCTCCTCAGCCGCGCGGGGCCGGGGCCGGAGGACCGGCCGAGGACGACAGGTCCACGGGGGCCCGGCGCCCCTGGCCGCCCCCGCCGGCCGCCTCCGCCTCCGCGGCCGCCTCCGCCTCCGCGCCCGCGCCGCGTCCTCCGCCTCGGCCTCCGCCTGCGGCTCAGCCCGCGCCGCGCCGCCTCAGCCCCGCCGGCCGGTGTGCGCCCGGCGCCCGCAACCGCCTGCGCCCCGCCCGCCGCCGTGCGCGCCCCCGCCCGCCGTGCGCGCCGCCGCCAGCGCGCCGCCGCCGCACCTCCGAGCCGCTCCGCTAGGTGCTGCTGCCGCGGCCGCCAGGGAGGGAGGCGCCGGGGGGCGGGCCCCGCGCGGGGCCGGGCTCTGTCCCGAAGCGCGGTGCTGGGTTCGGTCCTGACGCGCGGTGCTGGGTCCCGACGGGCGGTGCAGGGTTCTGTCCCGACGAGCCGTGCTAGGTTCGGCTCGGACGCGCGCTGCTGGATCTAAATGGGCGGTGCCGGGTCCGATGGGCGGTGCTGGGTTCGGTCCGACGAGCTGCGCTGGATCCCAGTGGTCGGCGCTGGGTCCGGATGGGCGGTGCTGGGTC